TTAATAAAATGGCTCAACTTGTGAGTACTCACCAAAAAAAGGGAACTCGAACAAAGGTGCCAGATCCACACTCTTACACTCTGCGGGTTGCCGCGTGTCTCCCGATCGACGTCACCGTAAAAACGTTCGAGGCCTCGTGTTCGACCACGAGGGCCTCTTTAGCCATTTTTCCAAATTTAATAGACCCTTTGCTCGCGATCGATATTATAGGATTTCACCCGTGTGAGTAAAGGCTACGATAATAACCAGGTACTATAACTATGATTTACGGCGATACATACAATAATAATAATGATAATAATGAATCACAAATAATTCATTAAAAATATCTGAAACAAATGTAAAATTAATTCTTAAATTACTAATAATCATAATATACAACCTTTCAAATATAATAATAATAAAGAATATGCAGTATATAAATTCACATAAAAATATTAAAATTATGGGACACCGAGTGTGGATCTGTTGCCAACACTAGGCGCAGGGAGGGACGCACACAGGAATAAAATTCGTGTGACAAACTGCAATGGCCTTCACATTATCAGTTTCACGACATTTCAGTAAAAATGATCTACTGTCATATACAAAGCGATCACCATTAGCAACAAATGCGTCAGTATAAATAATTTCACGAATAATTGCAAAATGATGTTTATCACATTGACAAAGATTTTGAAAGCAAATACAATGTGACCATAATATAAAACAATAAATCAACCCCCATCAGAGTTGGTTATTTTCAGAATATTGAACCACAGACGATAATGTTTGCAAATTATCTTTATACATGTCAGATACATATTGTTTTTTATGCTTCATAAGTCTAAAGTACTGTTTAACTGAAATGTTATCAATTAATAATCTGCTTTGGTGCAACGCATGCATAACGATTAATGGTAGCTCATCAACACTGAGATTTTTATAATTGCCAACAGTATAACAATGGTCAGATATTTGATCAACAATTTTGACTTGCAATTTTTTTTCAGAACAAAAATTGCGCACTTTGTCATTTCGTGATTGATCGATAAGCCTAGTCATAGTTAAAAATTTACTTTGAGATCTTGCTAGTTGAGTGTCAATATGCCACGTACCATGAAATAACTTAAGTATTTGTCCATTTAAATCTTCGGATTCATAGCAGGTATGGGCCCACAAGGGTCCCAAATTCTTCACTGAGTCTGGTAAATGTTCCAATAAGTGGATATTTATTGAGCAGTATCTTAATCCATATAGCTGCTCAAATTCACGAACAAAACAATTTAATAAGTCACGGGCCACTTCAATCATACCGTAAGTAATAACATCACAGCTTAAAATATGCAACCCAATAATTAATTTTAACAAATGTTGAAAGTAATCAAGGCGCATGATACCTTCAAATATAGGTATCGCATAATAAAAGCAAAATATTTTCAATTCAGATGCTTTCCAGTGTTTTAAGTCAGTAATTGTTCGAGGTAGCCGATGTACGAACTTAGGTGGTTTAATACCTATTAATCGATCATCGATTTGATCGATGACGGCACGCAATGAAAATGCATTATCACTATAATTAGAATCAAATAATAAGCGAAGAATTTTTTTAATCACGCCACCATCACAGCAATGCATACGGTCTATAGCTGTACCTCTGATGAAATCAGGCATAATTAGAAACAAAGCCGAATTGCCTTTAACCCCCATTATCGGTTGATCTGGCGTCGCGAGGTTGCCTTTTGCCACTGTTTGCAATGATGTCCTTAGTTGTATTTGAGGCTCATTTGGATAGACATGAACGTGTCCACCTGCATCTGTGCGCAATGACTGACCTCTTGATAAACAAGAGGTACAGCCAAAATCAGCATTGTATAGCATAAAATTGAAGCAATCGCTCTTCGCCGGTTGATCACAGACACCCATCAATACTACTCCTCTTACGATTATTTGATGGTTATCAGGAAGATGAACTTGAACTCCTTCAGCTATACTTTGTAATTCTTCTCGGAATTGGTATATAAAATTGTTCATGTATGGTTTTTTATCATCAAACCAGTAGCCCAAGAGCAGCGTATTTTGTCTCATTGAAAGGCAGCTCATTAATTGTGAGATAAAAAGGCCATATACTGATATGAGATGATTTGTATACAGGCACACCATCAGTATACCAACTGAAAGATATATGATGAGGATTTAATAAAAAACCATTATTAAACCATTCTCTGTAAAGTTCGCTATCGTAAATATCAGAGATAACATCAGGAAAAGGGATTGGTCTTCTAAACCTCCATTGAAGTTTCTCATAAAAATTTTGTCTTCTATACATTTCTTTCAATTGACTTAGTATTGGTAATTGTACAAAATATGAATTCTTTTTTTTTGTACATGACGGACATTCGTCGTTTTCATTGGCCAGTTCTCGAGTGCAAAACTTACAATAATAATGTTTGATGATATCTGTTTGATCCAGTTGAAAATATTTTTTGAATTTAAATAGGCTATTTTTGTGTAATCCATCTGGTATACAATGTAATTCTATTGCTGTAATAATGTCTTCAATACAAGTCATAGACAAATTATGGCGTAAAAGATATTGTATTTTAATTGAGATAACCAGACCGAAACCTGATCCTTAGTTTTTCCGCTATTTCAGCATTTTACAATGAGCTTCCAACAAAAATATACTCATTAAAAAAATTAACACGTAGGGGTTTTTTGTAACATTGAAGCACATAATTTAATATTAAGTACAATTATTTACACACTGATAGAATAATTTGTTTATATTTAATAAGCTTTATTAACTGTTAATAAATATTTATTGATTTTTAATGAATATTTGTTTAAAATAAAAAACAAAAATACCAGTATTCTTTCGATACTTTTTATAACCCGGAATTTTTTGTAACCTGGAACTTTTTACAGCTGGAATAGAAGATCATAATTCGAATTGATCAATTCACTAAATGAATTAACGTTTTTAATATTTTAAAATATAAAAAATAATTTTGAGCTGTGATAGAATTTGTTATTTCACAATAAATGTTACACAATAAATTTTATTATAATAAAATATAAAATATGTCAATAATTCATATAGAATATTTTTCTTCATATATAATTTAAAAACAATCTTTTTATTATATGACATTGCAAACGAAATAAATTCACTCAACAAAATAATTGTTAAATAATAATAAATGTTTGTTGACTATAATTAAATACTTATTAACTGTTAATAAATGTACTTTTCTTTGTAATAAATATTTATTGAATGTTAAAAAATATTCATTAAATAATAAATTAAATAATTGTCTTTAAATAAATTATATTATTAATAGTTAAAAAATCCTATTATCAGTGCATTTAAATAAGAATTAATTATTGAGCAATAGTTATAGTTTTCCACAAATGACATAAAAAGCGTGTATGTTCTTTAAGAAATTTCGTTACATTTTAAAGACAAAAAATTTTTAATTGTTTTATTAATAGGTTTATAAATTTATAAGCAATAAATTAATTTTACTCACAGAGGGTTGAAAAGTGCAGCTGGAAATAGAACCTCTTGGTTTCTGTTATGTATAATCACACGTTCAGCATTCTGGTCCACATCATCAACATTTTGATTCTGGTCCAGATTATCAACATTTTGATTTTGGTCCACATTTTCACCATTTTGGTTCTGGTTCACATTATCAAAATTTTGATTTAGGTTAACATCATCAACATATTCACGCAGACGATTCAATCTATTTCGAAATCCACAGATTCGGTAGAATCTGGCGCCAAGGTCCGTTCAAAAATCCCGTTGTAAACGGAGCGCCAGACTACCGACTGTGTTTACTGTAAGCAGAACGGTTTTTTGAGGTTGCGAATTTAAATTAATTCTACAGACCTTTTTTTCCTTCAATAATACTCTATAATAATACCTTATGTGTTATATTATCAATATTAATTAATAATGCTTATTAAAAATAATGAATTCTATTTAAAATTAATTAAATTCACTAGCACAAACTATAGCGACCCAGATTTTTAGATTCTGACTTTTTTCTTATGGAGAAAGTGACATGCCACAGACTAAATAATTCTATGGCCTCCAGGGTGCACTGGAATTATTTCTACATAAACTGTAGCTTAAAGGGGATAGTTTGCGCCGCAGACTAGATATCTAAGGGTGAACCACGAGCTAACTATGTGATGCTTTGGATTGCGTCCAGCAGGTGACACTACTTGTCCCGAAGCGCGAATTCAAACATTTTTTCCGGGATAATACTGTAATTCTAGTTCTACACGCCTTATAGAAATAGTAGAGAAAAAATTAAACTATTATTGTTAAGAAAAAATAAAATTATTGTAAGAAACCGAAAAAAAATTGATACAACCTACAAAAAATCGAGTGTGTATTTACCGTAAGCAGAACGGTATTTTGACGCTGTAAATTTTTTTTCCAATTTATTTGGATTTCTTATTTATATGATGTTTTATATAATGGTAACAGTACCCTGATAGCTACAGTTTCAGACCAACCAAGTTGGTGTCAGATAGTTGCCACCAACTTACCGACAACTTGCGGTCAACTTCCGAATTTGAAACTGTTGGCGTCAAGTTGGCTACAAGTTTCTGAGAAAAACAAGACCAATCTACTGCCGCAATATGTCGCCAAATTTCTCGAGAAACTTGTCGTCAACTTGGTGCGAAAGAGTTTCGAAAACAATTTTTGCCGACAACTTGGCGACAACTTGGTGAACAACCGAGTTCATTTCCAAGACTTGCCGCCAACTTGGTGACAAGTTGCTGCAGCAAATCAACGGAAAGTTGCGACCGGTTTGGCTATCAGGGGATGAACAATGTTACATATAACTGACTGTTCAACAGTCACTGTTGTAGACTAATCACTTAACTAAAACTATGATAATAAAGCATGCTAATTAGAAATACTACTCTTCGTATCTGTTATCTTCAATTTCTGACTCTAAAAATCCGGCCAGTAATTCTTTCACATAAAAATAACAATAACTCTTTGAGCTTATACTAAAATAAGACTACGCTAACTAACGCAATCGGTAATGTGATTCCTTCCAGAACAGGAAATCGATTTAAAGATGTACACACATATGTATACATATATATATGCGTGAAAATTTTTCTCCCATAGAAGAGGTAAAAACAACGTCTGAGTACAAAGGGGAATAAAAGGAGAGATTTTGCATTAAAATCGGGATTTAGTACTTAGAATAAATTTTTTTTCTTTTGTAGCTATTAATAAGGGCCATTAATGAGATCTGACTATAAAATAGTAATATGTTGAAAATTACTAATTTAGCAGCGAGAATCCCTACTGACCCACATTTAAAAAATTGAAATTCCGTAAATGATCAATTTTGTGGGAATATGGGGGTTAGCAAATAAGACCTGACTTTAGAATAATTAGATAGGGTAGATAAATAATTTAATAGTGAGAATTTTCGCGATCTCAGATATTTTTATTATTCCTTTTTTTTTTCGGGAACCCGAATGTTATACGGTATCCATACTACGCGGACATATGAAGGAAACGAAAATAAATTCCTTTTTTTTTAAATAAATGATACGGGTAACAGTTAGACCAAGAAAAAAGAAGAAGATTGTAGTCATAATAATAACAATAAAAGTTTGGGAAATCCAAATGAGCATGCCTTGAGCGCTCATGTCATACATAAATTATTTAGATCATAACAAAAATTATTCGTTTTAATTCGAATTTTGCCGAGAGTAGTATTATTCTCCCTTGCTGTTGATCGTTATTTCAATTCTGTTTATGGAATATAATATATATGGCTGCCGAAATCGCAGAAAAAGTCACCGAACTGACAATCGAAAAACATTAACTGTATCGAAACAGAATTATTTTGACACGCAATTTTTACAAGGGTTTTGATAAACTTCCTCAGGAATAAAACAGAACAAAATTTTTTTTTCCGTGAAAGTGATTTTTGACAAAGTTGTGGTGTTATCAAACCCATAGCTCCCATGAATAACACGCTCTTATCCATTTAATTCATCAGAAAAACGAGTTTTTCTGAGAAATCTTATTTAATCGATTAGAAAATTTTTAACGTGTTATTATTTATTTCATTATGCTTTTTAAATCGAAATCACGATTTTTAGGCGAGTTGTGAGCATACCTGCACGGTTTGCGCTTAAGGCATGCAAAATAATACTAATATTATTAAAAATAAAAATTAAAAAGATACGATTAGGTTGTGTGGTAGATGCCACCCAGAACTGTGAGCAAAAAAAAAAGAGAAACTAAAACTAATTAATTACAAACTAAGCAAAAATAGTAAAAGAAAGAAAAACTAAGTCCGAATACTCGGTTAGGAACGCTCAATTTTTCGAGATAACTCCGAAAATTATTACTGGACAGAAATTTTTATGAATACTAAAAGTTTCTATTCTTGAACGCGAACCATTTAATATCAATATCTTTTAATTCACATAAATTGATCTGGAGATATAAAGTAAGATAGGAAAAAGTTTATTTTTCGAAATCACTCCGGAAAACTTTATCAGACAATAATTTTAGCAATACCTATAATACTCTATTTTGAAACGCGAGTTATTTGACTCTAGAATCATTCGATTCGGGGAATTTGATCGGAAGATATGAATAAAATTTCACGTGCGGCAAAATTATTTAAGAACGGATGTGCGTTGCAAGCTGCGCATTAGTATCCAACGATACAGATATCAACGGAAAAACGCGAGTTTAAGTGCGCTGAAATTTTATCAGACGATTTCCTTTTTCAAAAAAAAAAAATAAGATTATTGTATAAAATTCATACACTTCAGATGATTCTCTCGAACTTTACGACCGATTCGTATTATTGCCCAAACAAATTATATTTTTAAAAACATTAATTAAATGATAAAAAAATTATTTGTATTAACGACGATAATAATTTAAAGAGGAAAAACTTTAAATGACTCACGCGAGTTTTGATGCATATGTACCGGACACTGCATTTTCTTACGAATAATGATTTGAGAAATATTTTTTTTATATATAAAGCATTTTACAATTCAATTCTTTTCTTGTTCGC